CAAGTTCCAACAGAACCTCAGTTGAGAAGATCTTCTAGACAACGTCAACCTTCTAGAAGATACTCTACAGATGAGTATGTGATACTTACAGATGCAGGTGAACCAGAGAGTTACTAGGAAGCAGTTGAAAGTGAGTAGAAAGAGAAGTGGTTAGTTGCTATGCAAGAAGAGATGGATGTTCTTAAGAAGAACCACACTATAACAACTATATCAAAAGTACAACTTAGAGATGTGGCAATAGTCATATATTGCAACTGATTTTACAATAAAACGCAGAACAAGAGCTATATTTCCAAATTGACATACATGAACACTAACAATAAGTAACAAGGTCAAGCTAAATTTACTATTATACTACTTATTTGCCTTACTTGAGAAGGCATTCTAGTAATGTCCTAGAATGATACTGCTAACCAGCATATATTAACGAGGGATCCATGCCAAACCAAAACAATCAATCAGCATAGCATGAACCCCATTTTACAAACAGCTTGACTTGAAACTCAAATCAATATTCAGGAGATTTTTGTGACAGTTTAAAGGATCTCCAAGTGGCTCAAAGGCACCATGCTAGATCTAGTTTGGATTACTATTTATTAAGTTTATTAATATTTTTTTTATTGTTGCTTTATTTCAAAGGATCCTAAACTTTTTTTAATATATTTTTTAATTTTTTGAACAACTATGCAGTTGAGATATTATGATACAAGTAATGCTTATTAGGTTTAGAAGCTAAGATTTTGCGTGAAGCTATAAGGATGACGTTGTGGTTTATTTATCCTCTCCAAGACAGGTAATCATACAATATCATAAACTTCAATAATTATTTAAGAAATAAAAACCTTAAATGATCTGTGAGTACTTGACAACATTGTACTCTATAAGTATAATAATCCAGGATGTATTTCTAAGATGTCCCCATGTTTCAAAAGCGCAAGTAAAAATTTGAGTTCATATTGCCAGTGAAATAAACCATGCTAACTCGTACTTACAATAGTTACTAAATGAATATATGGAACTAAGAAGAGAAACTCCAAAGTATGATGGAACTCAGCTATTTTTCATGCATTTTACAAGTGCATGTGAATGTACCTTAATATCCTTCTACAAGACTAATTTAGATAGTTTAAAATATGCCGTAAGTTCATCAGGCAAGTTTATGATCAACAGAGCATCTAAAAAAACAAGTATTTAAAGACAGAATTACAGATGTAAAAATAAACAACAATCAATAACAAAACAAGAGTCACGATCTCTCTTGTTGCTTCTAACCAGGTTCCCTTCGATTTGAATGGACCACTACAACTGAAGTGAAGTCTTTGTTCTTTGCATATTCAACAATCTGCAATAAGAGAAACAATCATCATAATAAAGGCTCAGCAAAATAAGAAACCATAATTTTGGTTCATCACAAATGCTTCACCTTCTTCAGTTCATAGGTTCCTCTATTATAGTAATGAGCATTTGGAATCATAGACAATAACTCTTGAATGAAGGGAGGACCTCTTCTCTACATGTATTTTCAAAAAAGTAAGAATTCAGTGGTGGCCTTAGTTCCTAGAAAATATGGGTTCCACGAATCCTAAAAATTATTTAAAGATAGGGCAAGAAGGACACACAAATAAACAAAGAAAGAAAAGGTAAAAGTGATGGAAAAATGAACACTAAAAATGTACTGTGGATTTGAAACGATTTGTGGTGATTATTATCTTTAGCATCACTTCTTGTTTCAGGACTTGACTAAATTCATCGGCATCATTCCCTGCAAATAACTGGACTAGCCATTATCAGGAATAACTGACCAACATCTAGTAGAAAGCAAGAGAAGAAAACAGAAACTGAACAATATGCTCACATCTTCATCATCAGGTCGACAGACCATCTCATCGACCTCCCTAGTGTTCTCGATCGTCCGTGGTGCCTTCTTCTCCGGAGGCTATGCATCAAGAAACAAGATTTATAACTCGAAAAGTGATAGCCAAGCAAAAGCTGGAGATCAAAGGGGAAAGAACTTGCCTCCTCGTCGAGGTCAAGGGCTCGCATGATGGCGACATCTCGTGCCTTGACCTCTTTTCGCTTCTCGATATTCTTCTCGCGCTTGAGCTTGGCATGGACAACACTCCTCTTCTCCTTATTCTTGATCATCAAGGGAAGCGTCGTCCCCTTCTTTGTCTTCTTCTTATCCCGTGTTTCCTGCTCGTCCACGTCGCTCCCTTCCGCCTTCTTCCTCTTCCCCCCATCGCCGTCCATCCTTGTACTTCAAACAAGGAGGGAGAAAAGACACGCGCGTCGACTGGGAAGATAATTGGAAGAGGAGGAGGGGGTATAGGGTTTTTATGATAGCGACAAGGGTTTCCTTAAACAAGGACCAGATCTAGAATCCGGATCATGGTTCGATCGAACCAAATTTACAACAGTGGCCCGTTCGGCCCAAAGCCCATTAATATACTGTCGTTTCCGTCGATGGATCGTCGACGGCCCCGCTGATTCTTCTGCATCAATTGAGAGGATCTATCCTTCATCATTAATGGTGTTTGATCTACCATCTTCGGAAATCAAAAATCGATGGTAAGACGAAAATAATAACGTCCTTGGTCTTAAGTTGGCTCAAGTATTTACAAAACTGTTGTATTAACGGACTCTCCTTCCTTATATCTTGAGTTAACGACTGATGAGCAATTAAATTCATAAAAATCAGTTATATCATCTTAATTCTGATCATAGGCAAACTAGGTCTTATTGCCTCCCTAAGATAGATTTTAGGTCACCAATCATTCCAAATTCAATATTATTTGGATTCATATTAAAGTTAATTATAATTTCAGATTAATACATAAAACTTGAGCAGCATAAAATATCCAAAAATAAGCAATAAAAAATCTCATCTTCCTTATCTTTCCTATTATGTGATATTATTTAATTGAATAAGATATATTAAAGTTATGATTAGATTTGTTTATCGACTAATAAAAAGAAGTTCATTTATGGTATGATTATTTAAGTGATATATTAATCAGATGGACTCTCTAAATTACTTATCATAAATCTTCTATTCTCGTTTATAAATAAATAAGACATCAATAGGACTCAATATGATATTATATGATACAATACGATGCAATATTATAAATCTATTATCGTCTTCCTTTAATCATTATTCTATCGCTCATAGTGACCCTGTGAAGAATAGGAAAAGATGAGTTAACGAATGACTTTGTTCGTAGATCGGTGTTGTTATGTTATATGAATCGAACTATAAAGTGCATTCTACAAGTCAAACAAATAAATGTATTTTGAATGGCAACGAAATATACACACATCTAATTTTTGATCTCTAGATATTTGATTTCGTATTAAAGTTATTTAGTACAATGGTATAATTATAATTCTATGCTTATAATTAGTATCAGCATCCATTGTTTGGTGCTATTGATATATTTTTCTATCTCGTCCGTTCTATCATTGATATCATAAGATAAGACATTATAGGGAGTTTTAGGTGATAACGTGGATTATTGTTGACGATATCTCGTTCTTATACAAAATGTGTGTGATAATTATACAAAATAAATTTAATACCAGAAACTGAAATTAAATGTCTAGAGATAAAAAAAATTAGATGTGTGTACATTTCGTTGTAATTCAAAATACATTTATTTGTTTGACTCACTTTATAATTCGATTCATAGAACATAACAACATCGATCTACGAACAAAGTCATTCGTTAACTTATCTTTTCCTATTCTTCACAGGGTCACTATGAGCGATAGAATAATGATTAAAGGAAGACGATAATAGATTTATAATATTGCATCGTATTGTATCATATAATATCATATTGAGTCCTATTGATGTCTTATTTATTTATAAGCGAGAAAAGAGAATCTATGATAAGTAATTTGAAAAGTCCCTCCGATCAATGTAACATTTAAATAATCGTAACATAAATGAAATTCTTTTTATTAGTCGATAACTAAATCTAATCTCAACTTTAATATATCTTATTCAATTAAATAGTATCTCATTATTATAGGATAGAGGAGAAAGATGAGATTTTCTTTGTTACTTATTTTTAGATATTTTATGCTACTCTAGTCTTGTGTATTAATCTGAAATTATAATTAACTTTAATATTAATCCAAATAATATCGAATTTAGAATGATTTGTGGCCTAAAATCTAGCTTCGGGAGGCAATAAGACCTAGTTTGCCTGTGATCGAAATTAAGATGATATAACTTGTTTCCATGAATTTAATTGCTCATCAGTAAGTCAAGATATAAGGATGGAGATTATGTTAATACAATAGTTTTGCAAATATTTGAGATAAATTAAGACCAAGGACGTCATTGTCTTCCTCTTGATTTCCAAAGACGGTAGATCAAACACCGTTACTAACGGAGGATAGATCCTCTCCACTGATGCAGAAGAATCAGAAGGGGCCGCCAACGATCCGTCGGGCTTCGGGCCGAATAGGCCGCTATCATAAATTTGGTTCAACAGAACCGTGATGCATATTTGGATCTGGTCCTTGTTTATGGTAAAAACCCAATACCCCACTTCTTCCGGTACTCTTACCTGCCACCGCGCGTATACGTCTCCTTCGATTTTTCTCCCTGTATGTTTGAAGTACTAGGATGGGCGGCGTCGGGGGGGGGGGGGAAGAGGAAGAAGGCGGAAGGGAGGAGTGGTGGCTTTAGTTCCTAGTAAATATGGATTCCACGAATCCTAAAAATTATTTAATGATAGGGCAAGAAGGACACACAAATAAACAATGAAAAAAAAGGTAAAAGTGATGGAAAGACGAACATAAAAAACGTACTATGGAATTGAAACGATTTATGATGATTAATATCTTTGGCGTCACATCTTGTTTTAGGACTTGCCTAAATTCATCGGCATCATCCCATGTAAATAACTGGACTAGCCATTATTAGGAATAACTGACCAACATCTAGTAGAAAGCAAGAGAAGAAAACAGAAACTGAATAGCACGCTCACCTCTTCATCATCAGGTCGACAAACCGTCTCATCGACCTCCCTGGTGTTCTCGATCGTCCGTGGCACCTTCTTCTCCAGAGGCTATGCATCGAGAAACAAGATTCATAATCTGAAAAGCGAAAGCCAAGCAAAATGTGGAGATCAAAGGGGAAAGAACTTGCCTCCTCGTCGAGGTCAAGGGCTCGGTTGATGGTGGCCTCTCGTGCCTTAGCTTGCTTCCGCTTCTCGATCTTTTTCTTATGCTTGAGCTTGGCATGGACGGTACTCCTCTTCTCCTTATTCTTGATCATCAAGGGAAGCGTCATCCCCTTCTTTGTCTTCTTATTATCCCATGTTTCTTGCTCGTCCACGTCGCTCCCTTCCGCTTTCTTCCTCTTCACCCCGTCGTTGCCCATCCTTATCCTTCAAACACGGAGGGAGAAAAGACGCACATGCGGGACGATAGGAAAGAGGATCAGAAGAGGAGGAGGGGGCATAGGGTTTTTATGATAGCGACATGGGTTTCCTTAAACAAGTACCAGATCCAGAATCCGAATCACGGTTTAGTCGAACCAAATTTATGATAGCGGCCCATTCGGCCCGAAGCCCATTAATATGCTGCTTTTTCCGTCGACGGATCGTCGGTAGTCCTGCTAATTCTTCTACATCAGGGGAGAGGATCTATCCTCCGTTAGTAACGGTGTTTGATCCGCTACCTTTGTAAATCAACAATGTCAAAGGAAAATAATGACATCCTTGGTCTTAATTTGGCTCAAGTATTTACAGAACTATTATATTAACAAACTTTCCATCCTTATATCTTGACTTAATGACTGATAAGCAATTAAATTAATGAAAACAAGTTATATCATCTTAATTCCGATCACAGGCAAACCAAGTCTTTTTGCCTCCCTAAGCTAGATTTTAGGCCACAAATCATTCCAAATTTGATATTATTTGGATTCATATTAAAGTTAATTATAATTTCATATTAATACACAAAACTTGAGCAGCATAAAATATCCAAAAATAAGCAACAAAAAATCTCATCTTCCTCATCTTTCTTATTATGTGATACTATTTAATTGAATAAGATATATTAAAGTTATGATTAAATTTGGTTATCGACTAATAAAAAAAATTATTTATGATGATATTATTTAAGTGATACATTAATCGAATGGACTCTCTAAATTACTTATCATAGATCCTCTATTCTCGTTTATAAATAAATAAGACATCAATAGGATTCAATATGATATTACATAATACAATATGATGCTATATTACAAATCTATTATCGTCTTTTCTTCAATCATTATTCTATCGCTCGTAGTGACCCTGTGAAGAATAAGAAAAGATGAGTTAACGAATGACTTTTTTCGTAGATCGATGTTGTTATGTTCTATAAATCAAACTATGAAGTGCATTCTACGAATCAAACAAATAAATGTATTTTGAATAGCAACAAAATTCACATACATCTAATTTTATTTCTCTAGATATTTGATTTCATATTAAAATTATTTAGTATAATGGTATAATTATAATTTTATGCTTATAATTAGTATCAACATCCTTTGTTTGATGCTATTGATATATTTTTCTATCTCGTTCATTCTATCATTGAGATCATAGGACAGGACATTATAGGGAGTTGTAGGTGGTAACGTGGATTGTTGTTGACGATATCTCGCTCTTATATAAAATGTGTGTGATAATTATATAAAATAAATTTAATACCAGAATCTGAAATCAAATATCTAGAGATAAAAAATTGGATGTGTGTACATTTCGTTACAATTCAAAATGCATTTATTTGTTTGATTCGTAGAATGCACTTTATAATTCGATTCATAGAACATAATAACATCGATATAGGAAAAAAAGTAATACTCGTTAACTCCTCTTTTCCTATCTTTCATAAGGCTACTATGAGTGATAGAATAATGATCCAATAAAGTCGATAATAGATTTATAATATTGCATCGTATTGTATCATATAATATCATATTTAGTCCAATTAATATCTTGTTTATTTATAAGTGAGAATAGAGGATCTATGATAAGTAATTTTGAAAGTCCCTTCGATCAATGTATCACTTAAATAATCATACCATAAATGAACTTTTTATTAGTTGTTAACCAAATCTAATATTAATTTTAATATATCTTATTTAATTAAATAGAATCTCATAGGATAGACGAGAAAGATGATATTTTTTTTGTTACTTATTTTTAGATATTTTATGCTACTCTGTATTAATCTGAAATTATAAATAACTTTAATATGAATCCAAATAATATCGAATTTGAAATGATTTGTGGCCTAAAATCTAGCTTATGGAGGCAATAAGACTTGGTTTGCCTGTAATCGAAATTAAGGTGATATAAATTGTTTCCATGAATTTAATTGCTCATCAGTCATTAAGTCAAGATATCAAGATGGAGAGTATGTTAATATAATAGTTTTACAAATACTCGAGTCTAATTAAGACAAAGGAGGTCATTGTCTTCCTCCGACCAATGACTGATGATTTCCAAAGATGACAGATTAAACACCATTACTAACGGAGGATAGATCTTCTCCACTGATGCAAAAGAATCAGTAGAGCCGCTAACGATCCGTCGGGCTTCGGGCCGAATGGGCCGTTATCATAAATTTAGTTCGATCGAACCGTAAAGCGGATTCTAGATCTGGTTCTTGTTTAAGGAAAAAAACCTATACCCCTCTTCTTCCGGTCCTCTTCCCTGTCACTCCGCATGTTCGTCTCTTTTGATTCTTCTCATTATGTGATTGAAGTACTAGAATGGGCGGTGTCGGGGGGAAGAGGAAGAAGAAGACAAAAAAGGGGATGGCGCTTCGCTCGATGATCAAGAATAAGGAGAAGAGGGGCGTCGTCCATGCCAAGCTCAAGCGCAAGAAGAAGATCGAGAAGCGGAAGCAGGCTAAGGTTAAAGATAAACTTTCTACTATGGACGATGAAGAATGGGAAGTTCAACATAGAAAAACTATTGCCTATATTAGAAGATGGATGGATATAAACTTGCATGAGCATATTTCTGATGAAACCAGAGCTGATGTTGTTTAGCAAAGGTTAGAAAACCTTTTTGCGAAAAAGATAATGAGAAATAGAATTTCTCTCCTCAAAAGGCTTGTAAATTTGAAGTATAAAGATGGTGGTAACATTGTTGAGCACATAAGCCTATTTTAGAGTCTTGCAAACAAGTTGGTTCCTCTGAAAATGAATATAGATGATGAGATGCAAGGATTATTACTTCTCAGCTCTTTACCAGAAAGTTGGGAAACGTATGTGGTGATAATTTGTAACTCCACGTCGAATGGGACTTTAACTATAGATATGGTTAAAGACAGTTTGTTAAATGAAGATGCTAGAAGGAAAAAACATGGTGAATCTTCTTCTGGTGCATTTGTTACTGAAAAACAAGAAAGACGTGGAAGAAGTCATAGCAGAAATTCACATGGTTATAGAGGAAAATCCAAGTTTAGAAGAGATATCAAATGTTTTCACTATAACAGACCAGGTCACATGAAGAAAGAGTGTAGTTTTGGAAGCGAGAACAGAATGAAATGAAGAAAAATGAGAAAGAGACCAATACAATTGCTACTGAAGGTAATATCACTATTGTTTGTGATGACGGTTGTGTCAGTCTTGTAGCTCAGGACAGTAATTGGGTAATTGACTTTGGTGCTTCATTTCATGTCACTTCTCATGGTGATTTCTTTATATCTTACACTGCTGGTGATTTTGATAATGTCAGAATGGGAAACAGTGGTACATCTAAGATTGTGGGTATTGGAGATATTTACTTAGAGACTAGTATTTGGAGTAAATTGATACTCAAAGATGTATGGCATGTTCCAGATATTCGTCTTAACTTGATATCTATAGGCAAACTTGATGATGAGGGCTTTGCATATTATTTTGATGAAAGTAAATGAAAATTCATTAAATGTTCTCTAATTGTGGCAAAGGGAAAGAAGCTTAACTCTTTTTATGTCATGGAAGCTAAGCTATACAAAGGAGAGATTAATGCAATTCAAAAAGGTAAAAGTATAGATCTTTGGCACAAGAGGCTTGGTCATATCAGCGAGAAGGGACTTCAAACTCTTGCTAGAAAGTAGTTCTTACCAGAGTTGCAAGGTACATCTCTTAAACATTATGATTATTTCTTAGCTGAAAAAACACATAGAGTTGCATTTCAGACATATCCATCATCTAGAAGATCAGATGTTATTGATTTAGTTTATACCGATGTATGTACTATGCAAACTAGAACTCTTGGAGGTGCTCTTTATTTTGTTACTTTTATTGATGACCATTCTAGAAAAGTGTGGGCTTTTGCTTTGAAATCTAAAGACCAGATACTCAATGTTTTCAAAGAGTTTCATGTCAGTGTTGAAAGAGAAACTGGCAGAAAGCTAAAGTGTGTTCGATCAGATAATGGTGGTGAGTACAAGGGTCCTTTTGAGAATTATTATAGATTTCATGGTATCAAGCTTGAGAAAACAGTTCCTAAAACTCCTCAACAGAACGGTGTGGCAGAAAGGATGAACAGAGCCATTGAAGAAAGGATTAGGTGTATACTTTCCCACGCCAAGTTACCGAAGTCATTTTGGGGGGAGGCTATGAGAACTATAATTGACATGATAAATCTTTCTACATCAGTTCCTCTGAAATATGATGTTCCAGAGAGAGTATGGAAAGGAAAAGATATATCTTATAATTATTTGAGAGTCTTTGGGTGTAAAGCATTTGTTCCTATTCCCAAAGATGAAAGGTCCAAGCTTGATAATAAGACAAAAGCATGTATCTTCTTGGGATATGGTCATGGAGAGTTTGAGTACAAATTATGGGATCCATTGAACAAGAAGATTATTAGAAACAGAGATGTTGTGTTTCTTAAGGATATACTATTTACTGTGATAGTCAGAGTGTCATTCACCTCTCCAAGAATTCAATATAACATTCTAGATCCAAGCATATTGATGTGAGATATCACTGAATTCGTGATGTGCTTGAGATGAAAGAATTACAGTTGGAAAAAGTGCATACCAATTAGAATGGTTCAGATAT